TGTCATGCTGAGATGGTTTGAATGATATACAGGGTAAGTCCCCAGGGGTCATCCCGACCCCCTGCCATTTGAGAAAGTTCTAATATCTTGTAAATGGTCGAGATCCCCACCCCTAAACCATATATATTCCTATTTGTCATGTCTCGAACATTTGAATGACGTATACGGTCAGTCCCCAGGGGTTCCCCCCACCCCCAATGTTCTAATATCTTGTAAATGGTTGAGATCGCCACCCCTAAACCATATATATTCCTGTTCGTCATGTAATGAACATTTGAATGACGTATAGGGCCAGTCCCCAGGGGTTCCTCCCCACCCCCAATATTCTAGTATCTTGTAAATGGTTGAGATCCCCACCCCTAAACCATATATATTCTGGTTTGTCATGCCAAGATGATTTGAATGATATACAAGGTTAGTCCCCAGGCATCACTAATGCATATAACTTTACTGGACCAAACCAATTTTCAATGGACGTTGCCCAATGTCAGGCGACCCTGGGAATTACGAATTATGGGAGCTTCGTTTGGGAGACTTCGTAACAGCATCCTGTTACAATCATTTCTTGTCTTTTAATGAGCCTATGGTTGGCAATCACCTTTTGTGCTATTAGACCAAGATGTCAGGTTTACAATACAGATACTTGGTAGTTAAAGGAGACATGACACGATTTTAAAATTTTTTTTTTTTTATTAAATTAATAAATATTAGTCTTAAAACATGTTTTGTACAATTTTGCTGGTCAAAACCTGATAAATTAGCATTTTTCTGGTCAAAGAATCAAGCGCTTGTCATTAAGAATGATTTTTAATTAGATAACGATCACGTGATCGTGCTTACGTCAGTGGTTACAAGCTGGGAAAATGTCTCTTGACTGGACGATGTCGATACACTATGGACGGTATTGACAGCACTTTTCCAGATTACTGACAAACTATAAAGACATTGTGTGTGAAAAATAACCAAGAAAAGGATATTAATTCTTCATGCGAAGAGTCCAAAAACGACGATTTTTCAGACAATACCGATCGGATTGTTACCATACATATTTGGTTTGTCTGATGAATAAATTTAATAGACCGCTTTCTGCATTTTTTCATTTAAATAAAACTACTTTTTAGTCATGATTGAAAATATAAATTTCTAATTATTGATAATCAAATTGTTCTTTTTTTTCTCTCTGTTACGGTAATGTTATAATTATGTGTGCGCCAGAAACAGAAAAAAAAACAATAGTAAAAATCAAATCAGGCGTTCGCAAAGTGTCCGTTTTTATTTTTTTTTTTTATTACATAGAGACTTTTAATAGGTATAAATTATCACCAAAAGTTATGCTTATAATTTTTTTGGTTGGAAACCATACATCACACAAAGGATTTGTATAGTGAAAAATCCTTTATCACACTTTTTTTGCATTAGGATATTCAATTAACAATTTTATTACTTTCCCCCTTTTATGTAAACAGTTCAATTCAATATTTTATTTACGTCTCACCTAATGTATAAAATTACACAATACAAAACATTTATTGGAGGCTGTTGTTTTAGTGATTAAATGTTGACACCTATAGCATACTTGACCAGGTAAAATGTAAGAAGGCACTTGTAGTGTGATTTAGTCACGTGTTATGTTATTTACCTTTAAAAATCATACATTTCTAAGAAAAACTATCTTATGTTGAAATAATTAATATAGTTATACTACACTTCTAAAGTATGCTATTCAATCCAGACCCTTATAAATCTAACTTCAAATTTAAGGAATTACACAAAGTAAATTCAAATTCACTTATTTCCACCCCTCTCTTCCAAATATCATTTAGCAATCAATTTGTTTATTGCTACCAGGAAAACGCTTGAGTCCAGGAAAATATTCGCAACACATAATGTTCTTTTTCAAAATATTTTTTATAAAAGGGGTCATTTGAATAAATGTTAGATTTTCAATCGAACTGAGCAGGAAAATGTTTACATGTAACATACTTCAGTCTTCGAGAACATGAGTTGTGTATTAGCTGTACTTGGCTTTATCTAGCTTACAGTATTTGTGCGTTATCTCTATTGTTTTAACGTTAGTGGTTTCTCTACTTCGTACCGATCTTTTTTGTTAGACTGGTTTTTGTCGAGCCTGCGACTTTTGTCGCAGAAAGCTCGACATAAGGATAGTGATCCAGCGGCTATGGCGGCAGCGGCGGCGGCGTTACCTTACTTCTTGAAAGCTTTATATTTTAGAAGGTGGAAGGTCTGGATGCTTCATACTTTTTATATGGATGCCTCATGTTACGAAGTTTCCGTCAATCACATGTCCAATGTCCTTGACCTCATTTTCATGGTTCAGTGACTACTTGAAAAAAAAGTTAAGATTTTTTGTAATGTTAAATTCTCTCTTATTATAAGTAATAGGATAACTATATTTGGTATGTGCGTACCTTGCAAGGTCCTCATGCCCGTCAGACAGTTTTCACTTGACCTCGACCTCATTTCATGGATCAGTGAACAAGGTTAAGTTTTGGTGGTCAAGTCCATATCTCAGATACTATAAGCAATAGGTCTAGTATATTCGGTTTATGGAAGGACTGTAAGGTGTACATGTCCAACTGGCAGGTGTCATCTGACCTTGACCTCATTTTCATGGTTCAGTGGTTATAGTTAAGTTTTTGTGTTTTGGTCTGTTTTTCTTATACTGTATGCAATAGGTCTACTATATTTGGTGTATGGAAGGACTGTAAGGTGTACATGTCCAACTGGCAGGTGTCATCTGACCTTGACCTCATTTTCATGGTTCAGTGGTTATAGTTAAGTTTTTGTGTTTTGGTCTGTTTTTCTTATACTGTATGCAATAGGTCTACTATATTTGGTGTATGGAAGGACTGTAAGGTGTACATGTCTAGCTGGCAGGTGTCATCTGACCTTGACCTCATTTTCATGGTTCAGTGGTCAAAGTTAAGTTTTTGAGTTTTGGGTCTTTTTTTCTAATACTATATGCAATAGTTCAACTATATTTGGTGTATGGAAATATTTTATGATCTATATGTCAGTCACACAGGTTTTATTTGACCTTGACCTCATTTTCAAGGTTCATTGCTCAGTGTTAAGTTTTTGTGCTTTGGTCTGTTTTTCTTAAACTATAAGCAATAGGTCAAATATATTTGTTGTATGGAAGAATTGTTAGCTGTAATGCCTGCCTAGCATGGTTCATCTGACCTTGACCTCATTTTCATGGTTCATTGGTCAATTTTTAGTTTACTTGCTTAATGTTAAGTTTATGTGACAGTTGTAATAAAGCTTTATATTTAGGACTATTAACATAATATCAATGATTAGTAAAGAAGGCGAGACATTTCAGCGTGTGCACTCTTGTTATAGTTCTTATGTACTGCTGTAAGACCACTGTCACACGTTGGGACGGGGAGAGGGTACCGTAGGCGCTCACAAACATATACCACCGACACATTTTGAATGTGCCTGTCTTAAATCAGGGGCATATAGATCAGTTGTTGTCGTTGATTCATGTCTGTCAATATTTTTCTACAGAAATTATTTTGTTATAAATAAGTTAGTCTTCTCGTTAAAATTGTTTCACATTTTCACGTTAAGAACTTGTATAGCCGAATATACGGTATGGGGTTTTCTCATTATTGGAGGCCGTATGGTAAACGACACTTTCTTCATTTATTATAAAGTTTCCATTTTAAAAAGAAATATTTCTCATCATCTGAAAATTTACCAACTAAATAGTTGTCAATAATTATATCCGATGTTCAATATCATAAAATTGAGAATGGAAATAGGGAATGTGTCAGAAAAAGAATGTAAAAGACTTATGATTCACATTCTCGTATCATTTCCTTGTTTGCTTTTATGCTTTATGTCTAACAATTTCTTATGAAGTTATAGACTTGCAAGCATACAAGAATATTACTTTTCCTTCTCAAGAAGTCAATTAAAAAATGCATCTGTTATAAACCTTTTTATATCTGCATATTCTTAAAAGCAATAAAAATAAGATCTATATACAGGTTGTCTATTAGTTATCAACACGAGTTAGGGTATTTAATTGGTGGTGCATAGGGTATTGTATGGTCGTACTACAGGTATTCATTAAAAATATGTACAGGTAGTTGTACACAACAATAATATATTCCAATCTCACCTGTGCCCTCGGCAAAACCAACATCCAGGATGTACACAAAGAGCTTATGAAGTAATATTGCGTAATAACTATATGTCTTATCAATCCCCCATGTTTAGTGACACCTGAAGTTTGCAACTTCAAACGAGACCTGAAATTGCGAAACTCAATCATCTGTACCATACACCTGTGACCTATGATGAACTCATGGCATGGCACCCGAGACCCCAACTCTGGATTCCTTATGAAAGTGGGCGGAAAGAAGTGTAGTTTGGGCTTGTTAAAAGTCCCATCTTTACACCTTCTAAGTCTGTGTGTCATTCGAAAAAACAGAAGATATCATGTCAATAATCGTTTTAATTATATTGTTGAATCCATCAGCATCACACATAATCATTGTTTATCACTGTCATGCGTTTTGTTGGATAATAATCAAAACTTAATTTGTGCTGTACCCATATGTCAATATGAATGAATGTAACCACTGACGTAGTAGCCTCGTTCTGAGTGACTTCCGGGATGGAAATATGCATATTTGACAGGTCGATAAATTGTTGCATTAAAATCTCATTAAAATACATATTTTACCAAATAGTTGATTCTTATATTGCTATCGATGTATTTTTGGGGAAAGTTAAGTATAAATAAACATTTTGAAACACAAATTGAAAATCGTGTCATGTCTCCTTTAAGCTTGTAGTTATACAGAACACAATTATATATTGGCCTGTTGTAGCTGTTGACAGCTTCTTATTTGGGAAAGGTTGAGTTTCATTTGGTAATCTTATTAGAAATTATAACATATTATATAAATTAAATTCAAAATCAAAATACCTTACATGTTTACTTTATCATCCTCGTTATATAGGCAATTCAAGTTCTTGGCAACAACCAGTACTCGAGTAAGATCACAGTTGCAAAAAAGTTGAATATCGACAATGATATTGCTCAGATTCTGGAGAAGATTGTAACCTATGAAAAGCAATTTCAATATTTACAGGAAGAGGTCAACAGGAATTCCAGTCAAACAAGGTATCAAGAGAAAAAAATCAAAGAGCTTCATGAAAAATATGAAGAAATTGAAAATGACCGAATGGAAGTAAAGGATTCTCATCAGCATGTCATAGATCAGATGTCAGAAATCAGAAGTAACATAAAACTTCAGAAAGAAGCTTTGGAAAAGAGAGTTAAAGAACAAAAACAACTAGCTGCAACCCAGATCAAGCATGGTAAACAAATCCAAACTCTTGAGCAAGAGGCTAGTTCAATGAAAAAAAAACAGGAAGACCAAAGAAAGGACATGAAGGAATTGACAGAAAAACATTTTGCTATCACAAGTAAGTATAAAAGTCTTTTTTTTTACCACCAGAGGGAACTTTAAAGATTATAGAAATTAAACCAAGTGCCCTGAATGAAGGGTATTCTCCCTGTAAGTGCAGCATCTGTCAGCTGAGTGGTTTAATAATGTATGGTGTATAAGATGTGACATAGGGAGATTGCCATACATCATCATTTGTTAAAGCAGGCTGATTACTGCTGACTCAGAGGTTTAATTGTCTGACTCTACTTATGTTCAGTTTATGTGATACATATCTTTAGTCAGAGATTGCTCTGATGTCCAATGGCCTTTTCTGAGGAATATCTCAAGGTAATTCAAAAATGCCTTCAAATGTCACAGTTATTTCAGACTGTCCTTTGGATAGACACACCTAACGGTTTTATTTCAACAGGATGGATAGTAAACCCTTCAAATAGTAACAAACCCCTGTGATATTATACATGTGATAAGGCCACACAAAACAAATCAGGTCAAGATAAATAAATATAATAATTACAATATCATAACACTATCATGATTTCCTTGATAGAGGGTTGCTGCTCACAAGGAAGCTATTAAACCAAGAGTTCCAAGTGGTGAAGTTGAAAGTAAATTTTACGGACGCCGTCATGAGTTGGTTTATTGTTATGGAATATCTGTTTCACAGATGACAACAGATATATTCCAATTGTCATAACTACAATCCCGTCCCCTTTTCACTCAATGTGACCTACTGAATTAGACTCATCACCCGTTTTGTACTAAAATGAACAACATGACGGTTGCCACATATCAACCTTCCGGGGCACCTTAGTCCACCTTCAGTTTTTGGTGGGGTTCGTGTTACTCAGTCTTTAGTTTTCTATGTTGTGTTTTATGTACTGTTGTTTGTCTGCGGGTCCTTTTTTAGCCATGCCGTTGTCAGTTTATTTTCGACTTTTGAGTTTGATTGTCCTTTTTGTATCTTTGGCCCCTCTTTTGATCTCACTGAAAGTACCGGTAGTAATTGTTATTGGTGGATTAATAATGAAAATACTTTTTTTTTAAATAATCAAGCAAGCTCAAAATTTTAGGATATAACGTGTTTTATGGGAAAAACAAATTCATGTCTTGTATGGGCCTTTTATAGCTGACTATATGGTTTGAGTTTTGCTGAGTCATTGCTAAAGATCCTAATGACCTATAGTTACTTACATCTATACAGTACTAAAGGAAGAGACCGATTTCTTTGAGCCTCAACTCCTCTGAAACCATACAAGTCGAAAATATTTGTGATATGGCGTGTAAATGTAGTGTTTTGTACTTCCTAAATATGTCTTTGAAACAATCTTTTTTCCACAGAAAATGCCTATTTTTTAGTAAATATCCAAGTCCAGAGACTGTTACGGAAAGCTATAATACTAAAATAACGAGGTCAGAGGTCACGACTTCGTCATTATACAGGGATTAATACTTCTAAATTCAATCTTTGTCACATGAATTTTCGGGTAGTAGTAAAAAACTGGGATAGGTTCAAACAGAAAGATTTTAATAGCAGAGAAATCTATGCACCTTATAATCAGCACGATTTTATCAGATGACAATACAAATACTAAAAATCCAGACTTAAAATAAGGCGTAGGTACTTTAATTTAGTCATGGATCTGCAATGTCGCAGGTGTTTTCTAGTGTACATAATATGGTCTTGTGGATAGTTGTCTCATTGAAATCTGAGCTCATACAAAGAGGCTAAATAAAGTTTTAACACTTCATCACTACTTGACACTGAACAATTACAATAAGTTGGATGGGTAAAAAAAAATTATTATTGCTCAATTCTCCCCAAACCTGGAACGGGTGGTGCAACAGCACAACATAAGAAAGAAACAAAAAATATTCAGTTTAAAAAACTTGACTTATCAGAACAATGCAATAAAAAAATAAAATAAAAGAAGAATGTGTGAGGACATGCTCAAGCTTTGCAATTTTCCAAGTTAAAAAGGGGCATAACTCTAAAACAGTAATTGACTAAATGCCAAAATTTGAAATTTGCATGTTGTGGTTCTTAGCATTGTGCATCAGTTTTATAAAAATTGGAAGAGGAAAACTTAAGTTAGAGTGCAGCAATGAAAATGGGAGGGACTGAAGGACGGACCGTCAAGGGTAACCTATGACAGGGACATAAAAACACTAACAAGAAAACTAAAGACAAAGTACCTATCTAACAGTACTCACAGTTACTGAAAGCTAGTTCAAAAAAAGTAAGACTAAATACATGTCAATTTTGTAGATACTAAAACAAACATGGATGCAAAAACTAAAAAAAGAAACAAAATGTCAAGAAGAACATTACAACAGTCAAATCAAAATATATTTTTAACACCATTCATATTATACAATTAAGTAAGACATATCACAAGACTTTGGTGATGTAGGAAGCTGCCATTTTGTGTCATTTTGTCCCATATAAAATGCATAGGTGCTTCATAATCAGAATAATTCAGTCGTTATATTTCACTCACTTCAATCACTAAATTGATAAGCATTACTGCCAAGTTTTGTTATAATCAGCTAAATAGTTTGAGAGAAATTAAATATAAATTAAAACGAAATCTACAGCGATTTGTGCAAAATTTTGTCCAAAAATACAAATCACGCCGCATCATGAAAGAATATAGTGTAGAGCAATAAATTCTCCAATAAATGATAAAATATTCATCTAATCTGCATACAAACAGTTGAATATTGATACATAAGATGATTCTGAGATGATGAACAACACTAATGTATCTTTTTGTTTTCATTACAAGATCCCTTTGGGTCAATTTATACCTCTCACTCCCTAAAAATTTGTACTTTTTAGGCTAATAAATCAAAATTTTGAGGTTATTATCACACATTTATGAATGAAATGTGACAATAAATGAGTAAATTGAATTGTTCAAGCTGAAAGCATGAACTATCCATATAAAAGTTTAGTGACGCAATGGAGGTTTCAATAAGGCCTTACATAAAACTTAAGTTTAAGCAACATTCAAGAGAGGGAAATTTAATAGATCCCTCTTAGTAAATAATGTGTTGTTACTGTTTCAAAAAGTTTACTTTTTAATGTATATTTTTTACAGAGTTACTTAGGATCAAGTTTTCTTTAATAGCTCAATATACAATGATATAGGAAATTAGAAAAATAAGTCAGAAAAAGCTTCTCAAAGCACTGGCTTGCTTTCCCTACTAATATTCATGGAAGAGTTCTCATGGAAGAGCCCTATTTCAAGGCAATTTTCCCTCAAATATGTTTTTTGACTTAATCCACTGAGAATATTTCATTTTCAATATTTTCGTGAAATAACATGATAAGTAAAATTGAGAATAAGTGTATTGCATGTTAAAATTTTGGCATGATTAATAGAGGGGGGATCACTTTTTTTAAATGTTTTTACGGGAGGGTATCAAATAAAAATAGTGAAATATTATGGGGGATCAAGAAATTTTGTATGTTTGATTTCAAAATGACCAGCCCCCCTCCCAGGTAAAATATGATAAGTCCCTAAACTAGTACTGTCAGTACACATGTACTGTGAATTGAGAAATTTATTATTGGTTTTTTGTCATTTTAGACTAAAATGCAATTTTAAATTTTGCGATATTGAGAAAAATCCTGTGTAATTCATATAAAAAATTTCAAAATGTGAGTTTAAATTATTGCGATTATAACTCTGTCGCATTTTTCGCAATAATAAAAACATCCCAATAATTTTGAATTTACAGTACCGGTACTATGATATGAAAGAAAAAATTTGACAAGGCGGAGATGTTTAGAATGTCAAGATCTACCTACTATTCATTTTGACAAATGCAGCCAGTTCAAGACCCCTTGTAGGATCTAGTTATTGCCCTAATACAAAACCATTTTTTGTGGGTTTTTTTGGCTATGATCAGGAAAAACTTTATTAGTTAAAGTAATATGAAAAGAGTTTCTTGTCATTTTAATGTTATCTAAATTATTGAACCAATGCTTGCATAGATACCTAAGTCATGTATGTAGGTTTTTATGCCCCCGCAGTACGGGAGGGGGAATGGAGTAACGTACCCTTGTTGGTCTGTAATGTCTGTTCGTCCTGAAATTGGTTTCCGTTCTGTAATTTTAGTTTGCCTCAACCAAATGTTATGAAACTTATCGTACTGAAAATTGATGAATTTTTCATTTCCATTCTCTTACTTAAGTTTGCCTCAACCGAATATTATCAAACTTATACATGGTATACACAATGCTTATTACTACAAAACACAGATCAAGTTTGAATTTTAGTGGTGTCACTTTTACCGTTCTACAGTTATGTCCCTTTGCAAATGAAGAAATTGCTGATTTTTATACGACCGCAAAAAAATTTTGCGGTCGTATATTGGTATGACGTTGGCGTTGTCGTCGTCGTCCGAAGACACATTGGTTTTCGCACTCTAACTTTAGTTTAAGTGAATGGATCTCTTTGAAATTTTACTATAAGGTTCAATACCACAAAAGGAAGGTGGGGATTGATTTTGGGGGTTATGGTACCAACAGTTAAGGAATTAGGGGCCAAAAATAAGCATTTTCTAGTTTCCAGACAATAACTGTGGAACGGTGTATGGATCTCTCTGAAATTATACTACAAGTTTCCATACCACAAAGGGATGGTTAGGATTTGATTTGGGGGGTTATGGCTCAAACCGTTTAGGAATTAGGGGCAAAAAAGGGGGAAAAACAAGGTTGTCCTGGTTAATGGACAAATACTTTAGTACAAAACATAATTTAAAGCAGTGTAAGGGAGATAAATCAAATACATCATTGAAATTATCTCCCTTACACTGCTTTTAAATTATGTATAAAGTAATGGTTAATGAACAATTAAGATAATTTAAAACAGTGTAAGGGAGGTAATCCAAATACAATGTTTTGGTTACTTCCCTTACACTGCTTTTAAATTATGTTTAAAGAAATGCATATTTATAAAGGAAGACCAGTAAAAATATCTGCAAATGTTGCATCTTTACAAAAAAATCCATATGAAAGATTTGACACTATATTTTAAATTCTATTATAAAATAGATTAAGTTAGCACTATGGTAAATTTAAATGGGTAATTATGGTTGCAAACTCCATTGGAAATTTGATTGAGATTATGACAATATCTTGAGGGAAAGAATTTTTTTTTTGGGGGGGGGGGGGGGGGGGGGGGGGTAAAAAGAAATTGTGGGGGGTCAATTTTTACTCATTTCAGATTTCAGAAATTAAAAAGAATTATTCTTCAAATATTATTTTTTTTTCAAATTTCAAATATTGAAAAATTTCAAGAAGTAATCTTTAATTGCACAGTATGGCGCATTAGATTTGTAAAATCTTTGACCACATTTATGTATTTGTTATGCCGAATCTAACCGTGTATTTAGATTTTTAATTTTGGGTCCAGTTTTCAAATTGGTCTACATTAAGGTCCAAAGGGTCCAAAATTAAACTTTGTTTGATTTCAACAAAAATTGAATATATGGGGTTCTTTGATATGCTGAATCTAACCATGTATTTAGATTTTTTATTTGTGGACTCCGCTATCAAATTGGTTCATATTGAGGTCAAAAGGGTCCAAAATTAAACTTCGTTTGATTTCATCAATATTGAATTATTGGGGTTCTTTGATATGCCAAATCTAACCGTGTATTTAGATTTTTAATTTTGGGTCCTGTTTTTTAAATTTGTCTACATTAAGGTCCAAAGGGTCCAAAATTAAACTTAGTTTGATTTTAACAAAAATTGAATTCTTGGGGTTCTTTGATATGCTGAATCTAAACAAGTGTTTATATTTTTGATTATGGGCCCAGTTTTCAAGTTTGTCCAAGTTGGGGTCCAAAATTAAACTTTGATTTCAACAAAAATTGAATATATGGGGTTCTTTGATATGCTGAATCTAAACATGTATTTAGATTTTAGATTTTTGGCCCAGTTTTCAAGTTGGTCCAAATTGGGGTCCAAAATTAAACTTTGTTTGATTTCAACAAAAATTGAATATATGGGGTTCTTTGATATGCTGAATCTAACCATGTATTTAGATTTTTTATTTGTGGGCCCGCTATCAAATTGAGGTCAAAAGGGTCCAAAATTAAACTTTGTTTGATTTCATCAAAAATTGAATTATTGGGGTTCTTTGATATGCCAAATATAATCGTGTATATAGATTTTTAATTTTGGGTCCCGTTTTTTAAATTGGTCTACATTAAGGTCCAAAGGGTCCAAAATTAAAATTAGTTTGATTTTAACAAAAATTGAATTCTTGGGGTTCTTTGATATGCTGAATCTAAACATGAGTTTAGATTTTTGATTATGGGCCCAGTTTTCAAGTTGGTCCAAGTTGGGGTCCAAAATTAAACTTTTTTTGATTTCAACAAAAATTGAATATATGGGGTTCTTTGATATGCTGAATCTAACCATGTATTTAGATTTTTTATTTGTGGGCCCCGCTATCAAATTGGTTCATATTGAGGTCAAAAGGGTCCAAAATTAAACTTTGTTTGATTTCATCAAAAATTGAATTATTGGGGTTCTTTGATATTCCAAATCTAACCGAGTATTTAGATTTTTAATTTTGGGTCCTGTTTTTTAAATTGGTCTACATTAAGGTCCAAAGGGTCCAAAATTAAACTTAGTTTGATTTTAACAAAAAATGAATTCTTGGGGTTCTTTGATATGCTAAATCTAAACATGTGTTTAGATTTTTGATTATGGGCCCAGTTTTCAAGTTTGTCCAAATTGGGGTCCAAAATTAAACTTTGATTTCAACAAAAATTGAATATATGGGGTTCTTTGATATGCTGAATCCAACCATGTATTTTGATTTTGGACATTGGACCATAATAGGTAAATTAAAAAAATTCAAGTTCTTAGACCACATTCTTTCTGTGTCAGAAACCTATGCTGTGTCAACTATTTAATCACAATCCAAATTCAGAGCTGTATCAAGCTTGAATGTTGTGTCCATACTTGCCCCAACTGTTCAGGGTTTGACCTCTGCGGTCGTATCAAGCTGCGCCCAGCGAAGCATTTTATTTTTGTTTCTGTTCCCCTTTCTCTGACTTAAGTTTCCACCAACCAAATGTTATGAAACTTATACACAATGCTTATTACCACAAAACTCAGTTCAAGTACGAATTTGGTTGGGTCACTTTTACTGTTCTTGAGGTATGTCCCTATATAATGTTATATGCAAGCGGGGGCATCATCTGTGTCCCATGGACACATGCCCCATTTATTTTTATATTAACTGTGCTTATCCAGTAACCTTTGGGGTATTGCAATAGCAATGGCTAAAACAGTTTACCAAATTGCAGTTTGGATTCAGATTGAAGTTCTCCCACAAACTGATCAACAGTCTCTAGACTTTTCATACATTTAACACAAGCCCCCTTTAAATTTTAAAAATGATGCAAAAATAACAAGAATTTTATAGCATTTAAAATATGGCTTTTAAAACTATATATATGTAATAAAATTATTAAAAACAAAGTAGGGGTAGTGGGAAATTTGTTTTAAAGGCACTACATGGATAAAAGCAGAAGATTCTGAATATCTGGCAAAAATTCTGAAACAAGAGGAGTGAACATCCTTAAGTTCACTCTGGTTTCATAAAAGTGGGGGTGGTGGTGAGACCACAACAAGTGTATCAGGATTTATGAGGATATTAATATGTTGTTCTTTAAGGTCACGCTGAACAGTTGGAGAAGATAACAAGTGAGCATAGCCAACAGCTAAGTGAGAGTGTGGAAAAAACAAACAAATTAGCAGAAATGGAACAATGCATCATGAGACAATTCAAACCATTGGACAAGAACAAGAAATACAAAGAAAGGAAGTGAACGAATTACAAGAAAAACAGCAATACATGCCAAGTAAGTGTGAAAAAAAGAAGATGTGGGTGACATGCTAAAGATATAGCTATCCATTACCTAGACAAAAAACATCATTGGATTATCTTCTATTAGGTATTTTATTAAACATACTGTGTCTGGTCTTGTATGTGTTCTCAAGTGTACAATTGTTGCACGGATTTGATGAAATTTATATCAAAGCTCAATATCAGCTATCTTTCGTACAAGTTTGAAAATCATTGCCAAACAACTATTTTTAAAGGAGTAACATACCCCTTGGAAATATAAATTAAATTAAAAATTGCATTGTAAGTACTCTCGAGTATACATTTCTTTTAGGATTTTTATCAAATTTTGAACAAAGGTTTATATCAACAATGTCCTGAATGAGTTCGAAAATCAGTACTGATCAAATATTTTTACAGGAGTAACTTGTTGCTTGAAATGTAAATTCTATAGAAAATTGAATCGTCTGTTATCCCTCATCGTTGTTAACTTTTACAAAAATCTGTTTCCAGAAATTTTTCATAAAATTTCGATCATTTTGAGATGACTTAAAGTTTTGGTCCTTTTTATACGACTGCCAAGATTTTGTGGTCATATAATTGAAAGACTTTGTTGTCTTCGTCATATAAAGACATGTTGTTTCCAGGCATTAACTTGAGAATGAGTGTATAGCCAGACTTATGTATGCTTTTTAGTCCCCTACCGACGAAGTCGAAGGGGACTTTAGGTTTGCACTCCGTCTGTCTGTCTGTCCATCCGTCAGTCTGGCAAATCAGTTTTCCACATATTATTTCTTCGTGCTTCAAGATATTGATTTAATATTTTGTATATTGATTTATCATGACAAGTTACAGATCAAGTTTCAATTTTGTACCGGTCTGATGATTTTGTGCAAAGTTATGGTCCTTGGACTTAGAAAATTCACTCAAATATTCAGTTTTCCGCACTTTTTTTCGTCATGCTTGATGATGTTGATTTGATAATTGGTACATTATTTTATCAAGACAGGTTACAGATCAAGTTCGAATTTTGTTCTGGTCTGATGATTTTGTGCAGAGTTATGGTCCTTGGACTTAGAAAATTCACTTAAATAATCAGTTTTCCACACTTCTTTTAGGCATGCTTGAAGATATTGATTTGATAATTGGTATATAGTTTTATCGTGACAAGTTACAGACCAAGTTCAAATTTTATTTTGGTGGCCTGATGATTTTGTGCAGAGATATGGTCCTTGGACTTAGAAAATTCAATTAAATCATCAGTTTTCCACATTTTTTCTTGTCCTGCTGGAAGATATTGACTTGATATTTGTTATATAGTTTACACCCTGACAAGTTTAAGATCAAGTTAGCATTTTGGTCCAGTATAATTAATTTTTTATCGGTAGGGGACTATGTATTGCCATGCAATACTCTCAGAATGCTTGTTCCTACTGTGTTGGTGGCGTACTCAACAATTTGTAAAGGTTCATGTTTAGGTCAGTTTTTGGAGAGCCACTAATGATATGTCAATGATATTTGGTAAGCAGTAGTATAAGTATTGGCCCATCTCATTTCCATGGAGATTATTGACAATGCCCTCTTTTAACTTTTAAACATTTGCATAGTTTACATGTTAAGTTAACCATTAGATCAGGTTAAGGGAAACCACTTATGATACATGTAAGTCAATGATATTTGGTTTAAAGTTGTAAATTAACAGCTATAGGTCAACGTAATAACTTTAGTGATGGTTCATTGACTTTGAATATTTTGCATAATTTACATGTTAAAGTATTGCTATTTTGATTTTAAATTTGTATTTTACTATCAAAAATCAAACAGGTGACACGTGTATCTGTGTCAACAGTTTTTAAATTACTCTTAAACAGCTTTAGATGCATGATTTTTTTTGTAACTGCGAGTATTCTCAGATCTGTACTTAGTGTCTTTTTGTTGTTGGGATGCACAAGTACCCGACCACGTCCACTCTGTGTTCAGTTAGATGTATTTCTATTTGTATCCAGCTGATGAGTTATGTTGTGCTGTTACACCACTGTCCCAGGTAAGGAGGGTTGGGAAATTTGGGATCCCGCTAACATGTTTAATCCGCCATATTTTGTATGTATGTGCCTGTCCCAAGTCAGGATCCTGTAATTCAGTGGGTGTCTTTTGTTGCTGTGTAACAGATTTGTTTTTAGTTCATTTTTATATGACCACAAAAAAATTTGCGGTCATATATTGGTATCACGTCATCATCATCATCATCGTCGTTGTTGTCATCCGAAGACATTTGGTTTCTGGACAATAACTTTAGTATAAGTAAATAGATATCTATGAAATTTAAACACAATGTTTATAACCACAAAAGGAAGGTTGGGATTGATTTTGGGGGAGTTTAGGAATTTGGGGCCAAATAGGGGCCCAAATAAGCATTTTTCTAGTTTCAAGACAATAACTTGTGGAACGTTGTATGGATCTCTCTGAAATTATACCTCAAGTTTCCATATCACAAAGGGATGGTTAGGATTGGCTTTAGGGGGTTATGGCTCAAACTGTTTAGGAATGAGGGGCAAAAAAGGGGGAAAACAAGGATTTCCTGGTTAATAGACAATTACTTAAGACAATTTAAAAGCAGTGAGAGGGAGGTTATCCAAACACAACATTTTGGATTACCTCCCTTACACTGCTTTTAATTATGTATAGAGACATGTTTTATTGTCATGAGGTGATAAGCTGTCAATTTATTTTTATACGACCGCAAAAAAATTTGCGGTCGTATATTGGTATCACATTGTCATTGTCGTCTGAAGAAAATTGGTTTACGCACAATAACTTAAGTATAAGTAAATAGATATCTATTAAATTTAAACACAAGGTTTATAACCACAAAAGGAAGGTTGGATTTGATTTTGGGGGTTATGGTCCTAACAGTTTAGGAATAAGGGGCCAAAAAGGGGCCCAAATAAGCATTTTTCTAGTTTCCAGACAATAACTTGTGGAACAGTGTATGGATCTCTCTGATGCTATACCACAAGTTTCCATACCACAAAGGGATGGTTAGGATTGGCTTTGGGGGGTTATGGCTCAAAATGTTTAGGAATGAGGGGAAAAAAGGGGAAAAAACAAGGGTTTCCTGGTTAATGGACAATTACTAAGTACTTAAGACAATTTAAAAGCAGTGTAAGGGAGGTAATCCAAACACAACATTTCGGATTACCTCCCTTACACTGATTTTAAATTATGTATAAAAAAATGTTGTGTTGTCTTGAGGTGAGTAGCTGTCAATTTATTTTTATACGACCGCAAAAAATTTTGCGGTGGTATAATGGTATCACGTCGTCGTTGTCGTCCTCATTGTGATCTGAAGACATTTGGTTTTCGCACAATAACTTTAGTATAAGTAAATAGAATCTATGAAATTTAAACACAAGGTTTATGACCACAAAAGGAAGGTTGGGATTGATTTTGGGGTTATGGTCCTATCAGTTTAGGAATTAGGGGCCAAAATAGGGCCCAAATAAGCATTTTTCTACTTTACAGACAAGAACTTGTGGAATGGTGTATGGATCTCTCTGAAATTATACCACAAGTTTCCATACCACAAAGGCCTTTAAGGGATAGTAATTGGCTTTGGGGGGTTATGGCTCAAACCGTTTAGGAATTAGGGGCAAAAAAGGGGGAAAAACAAGGGTGTCCTGGTTAATGGACAATTACTTAAGTACAAAACATTATTTAAAAGCAGTGTAAGGGAAGTAATTCAAACACAACATTTTGAATTACCTCCCTTACACTGCTTTTTAATTATGTATAAAGAAATGTTGTATTATCTTAAGGTGATTAGCTGTCAATACATTTTTAGAAGTTACTTTTATAAAAATGCCGATGAAGGTAATTTAATTTTAGCCATGATTATGTATGTCGTTTTCTATTTTAAGACTTTTAAAGATGTATTTAAATGGGTAATTATGGTTGCAAAGTCCATTTGAAATTTGAATTGAGATTATTACCATATCTTGAGGGAAAGAATTTTTTTTGGAAAAGTTAGGGGGGGAGGGGAGGTTAAAAAAAATTGGGAAGTTGGGACAATTTGTTCTCAAGATTTCAGAAATTGAAAAGAAAATTTCTTCAAATATTATTTTTTTTTGCCAAAAAAAAGGGGGATATAAAAAAAAATTTGGAGGGGGTGAAAATTTTTTTTGGTTTGGGTGGGGGTCAATTCGCAACAGCATAGTATATTGCACAAAAGCAAAAAAAAAAGGGGGGTAAACATTTTTTTTTTGGGGGGGGGGGGGGGGGGGGTCAATACGCAACAGCATAGTGTATTGCACAAAAGCCAAAAAAAGGGGGGTTCAATTCGCAAACAACATGGTGTATTATACAAAAGCAAAAGATTGAATATAAATTCAAATTCTAAGCTCTTTGACTACAGTTCTTCTCTGTCAGAAACCTATTTTTGGTCAAATATTTAATTACAATCCAAATTCAGACCTGTATCAAGAGCAAATATTGTGTCCATTTTTGCCCCAACTGTTCAGGTGTTCTGACGAAGGGCACGAGGGAACAACCTGTAACTCTGAATCTTCTAAATGCGTAAACTGTGGTGAATCCCATTTTTCATCATCTAGGGCCTGCCCTGTTTATCTTAAAGAAAAAATATTATTAAAATTAAAGCAGAAAGAAACATCAGTTACCCAGAGGCTAAACAGATAGCTTCTATTTCGAATGATCCTCTAGTTTCGAACAAACCATCGTACGCCAACAAAGTTGGCCTCTCTTCAGTCACGAGAATACACAAACTCGTATGACCTGGCTAATTGATGCTGAAACTTTTACAATGTTGTCTGTTCATTTAGAAACTTCTGATAAAATGATTATTCCAAGAAAACCAAAACCTCCTAAAACCAGTACTCAGTCAACTCAATCTTCCTCACAGAGCTCAATGAAATCACCTAAAAAAATGAAAAAAAGATATCAAGTAAATCAAATGGGGTTGTATCAGACAGTTGGGGCACTGGATCTATCTGGGATCTCCCC